TCCCTGTTTCAGCCGTTCGGTCGTAGATCTGCTGCTGTGCTCGCCGTTATTTCCTGTTTTATGACCTAATTTTAGGCCATACTTTAACTGTCTTTAATACAAAGAGGTTCATGGTCAACTCAACGACTCCAACAAGCCCAGATCACCTCCTCTCCTCACACCACCGTGCTCGACGATTGGTGCGAGGTGCTGGTATGCCGTAAGGGTGGGAGATTGGACGAATATTGCGACAATCGGCGATAGGCCGCGCCCTTCACCCATCGTTTGTAAGTAAGTTTGCTATTAAGGTTGGTTGAAGCTAAGAGAAGCAGTCAACGGAAAAAATAACAGCGCTGTTTTAACATCTCCAGCTACAAGCAAAAGCAGCGATTCATTTACTGAAACTCATAACAGAAAGAAAGAACGGCAGCCGGTGTTCAGAAAAAACCCAAAACATTTTATTTAAATTCAAAAAACAGAATGGAGAGGAGGGAAACAACAAATACACGACTAAAAAAGTGGTCTCTTCCAGCACACGTTAAAAAAAATCTCTGGTGTAAAGTTCAGCCTTTTGTGTGATTTGGCACATTTTAAAAAAAAGAAAGAAAAAAATCCAAAAAGTAGCTGCATTATAAATCTCATCTCTCTCGTCGACATTAATCCTGAAACAAAGAAGAAGAGAAGGTAAAATATTCCCTCCAAACAAAGCTTAGAAATTCTAAATGCGCAAATCAGCCCGTGCAGGGTTACGTTGCTCCGCCCATTAAAAGGTCGCCTATCATCGGTTATTTATGGAAGCCTGTTTCCGCCACTAAAAAGTAAAAAACAAATCCATAACTCAAAATTCTGAGTTATTTTCTCGAAATTTCGAGTTATACTTTTTTTTTTTTTTGGCAGAAACAGGCTTCCATAGGTTGTCGGACTGACGATTGTTGGTTGGAAAAATTTTATATATCGCCAAACCGTAACCTGCCGTGTTTGGTTCATGCCAAACGTAGAGGCGTATCATGACCAAACGTCAACCTTGGACATCCATCCTTCGATCGGATGAAATTTTGCAAACCTGAGCTGTGAATCCACACAAAGCAGGTCTGTACCGAGGAAACAAAGCGCATTTTAACTTAAAACTGCATGGCAGCAAAAGAAACGCACACAGTGAAGAGGAAAAGTGCATTACTATAATTTCTCCACAGAATAAGTCCCAGAATGCATTTAATAAAAACGTGATTTCTACATAGCGATGTATCAAAGCACAGATATTTCCTTAAAATCGAATTTGAACCGCAGCCTTGGCATAAATGAAAAACAGCATGTTTTACAGTCAACTCGATGCAGTTTGTAGCAGGAAGATCAAAGCTTCCTTATTACAGTAAAATGTGTGGAATAGCCACGGAGAGTTAACATCAACCTTAATAGTTAAAAGAAGGCCTTGCAGTAAAAACTATTCATAATTCAATATTTCCTTTATTTCTCTCTTGATATTATGCTGAACCCAGAGTGGATGAAAAAAAAAGATACTGCGTGTGTATAATTTGCAATTTCATGCAACAGTGGCTCATGAGGGGAAATATGAGAGAAGGATTGAGGAAACGTGAAGGCTGATGAACCAGAGGGGAGCGTAAGGAGAGGACGGACAGATCTGTGTGCAGAGATGGAGATGATGTGACAGTCGCAACAAGACAGAAAAGAACATCATTACAAACATAAGATAAGACCACTCAGGAAATCGACTCAGCCGTGGATTTCCTGAGAATAACAACAACTAGTTTCAGTTGGCACAATCATCTTCAGCAGGTATGAAACAGCCCAACACAAACCTTTAAGCATACGTGCAAATATCTATTATTAGTGAAAAAGGAAAACAATTCTCTTGATATCAAATGGTATGGATAACAGAAACAGTCCCACTGGGGGGATGCTGGGTCAATTTGGATTTGTTTCGAAGTTACTAAAAATAAATCTGATTTTTCCAACCAATCGCTGTCCAGGTAAGTGGACTGGTGGAGATGCATCGACTCTGCTCTGGGATCCTTGTCTCATCGTTTTTCCAGACTTACATAAATTTAAGTCTTAACCTTCTCGTTCCCCGAGATGATTCATGCGTTTCATTTTATGCAAAGCTTAATTAGTTAACCAGTTTAACAAATAGTCACGTAGTCGAGCCCTTTAAACAGAGTGAAAGTAAAAACAAGGAAATAAAACTGCAGCGTTTGAGATGGAAAACTGAGTTTTACACTCGCAAGCAGAGCAATTTGCAGAAGGGAGTGTCCGAGTGACTAACTTCACATTTTGAAATATGGTGGAGCTGCAGACAGTTTCTGCAAGTTGGGCCTCTGTTGGTGGAACTTGCTGAGTGTTTATCATATCATCCTCTGTTCTTTACACAGAAGTGGGCCTTCTATACCACACTGTGGTGTGTGTGTGTGTGTGTGTGTGTGTGTGTGTGTGTGTGTGTGTGTGTGTGTGTGTGTGTGTGTGTGTGTGTTTTCCACTACTTTGGGATGAGATCTGAGAGGAAACGGACAGATTTCCATCTGTCTGCTTCATTTGCAAAAAAAAGTCCTTCTTATGATTCAAATATATGCTTTAGCCACCTCTCTCTCCCCTCCCTTCCTTCCTCTCTCTCCCCTCCCTCCCTTCCTCTCTCTCCCCTCCCTCCCTTCCTCCCTCTCCCCTCCTCTCTCTCCCCTCCCTCCCCTCCTCCCTCTCCCCTCCCTCCCTTCCTCCCTCTCTTCCATCTCTGCTTCTCTCTGTCCAAATGGCATCTGTGGATGACCAGGGCACAAGTCTCAGGGGTTGATAGAGAAATCGTGTTGGGGGGAGAGAAGGAGCGAGCACCTCTCGCTTCACATTTCCCTAGCACCACCCCGGCATGCCAGCCAGCCTGCAGTCTGTTCTCCTTTGAGCTTTCTATTCTACCACTGAACAGGAGAAAAAAATCAATTCATATTTCCATAATCCACACTCCTGTCTGTCTGCATGTCTTTGCCTCTCCCCCTCCTTCCATCCCACTCTCTCTCCCTCTTCCTCTCTCTACCCCTTCTCCCCTGGGGTAGACTAACCCCTCCACCCTGATCCTACGGCCTACAAATGTCATTACGCTGAGCAACAATAACGGCCTAAACAAAAGGAGGCCTCGCTCTGAGCTGCGAGCCCCTCTGCAGAGATCGCTGGCTGCTGCCGCCATATGCCGGCCAGCTCGGGCCACAGAAAGAGAGCGAGACTGTGGCTACAGAGGACTCCAGCCTTCAGAGCCACAAAGGAGGAAAGGAGCCTTAATCCTGGTAATGAGGCCCGTGAATACAGCCTTTATGTATACGGGGGAAAGGGCCAATCCCTCTGTACACAGCAGGCTAACTGGCCATCTTAAGGGCCATCTTATCCACACAAACGATCTGGTCGACAACAGAATGAAAGAAAAGCGAGGTTGCGGGGGGCTAAAAAGGACAGCCACGCTGGAGAGGATGCACGAGGCCCGCGTCAACACAAAAACCGTGTTGGCCCTATGTTTACGTCTTCATTTCAGTTCCCCCCCTTCGCTTCCATTTCCTGTTCTTCCCTCTGCAAGTGTGTAATTTCTTGCTCGCTCTCCCATTCCCTCACTGCCTTTACCTCTTACTCTGATAGCACGCTCTGGTTCTTGTGGGGCAGGCAGACATCGCCTGAAGCATCTTTCTACAACTCAGTTTATTTCTCAAAGTGGATCAGAGAGGCAGGAGAGCTGTTTAAACTCACTAGCTATGCTGCTGTGTTGAAGTCTATCGTAACCTTCGCCACATATTGGAGTCTATCAGCTACACGTCTGTTTATTCCCTCCTCTCAGCTGACAGGCTGCCCAAAGTCATCCGTCCAGCCATCCGGCTCCAGGATCTGCTCTGTGGTTGCTTTTAGCACCGAACACAATGTACAGCCCGTCCTGTCTTCTCTCTCTCAGCCTCCGCTCGCCGATGATGGGCACACGCACGTTGTTAAAGGCTGCGTTACTGTTTTGATCAAGTTGGGTTTAAACTGTAAAGGCGAATCGACAATCGAGCAAACACGACACCCCGCTGGGCTGCTGTGTTTTTCTGAGGGTAAAGAGACTTTTAAATGAAACGATATTTAATCCAGAGTTCACAATTTCCCCGTGAGAAGCTGAGAAAAGCTGTGACTAGCATTAGGAAGGTTTTCAGGTCACATTCACTCCCTCATTGGTTCTTATTTGAACCAATGAGGGAGTGATGAGGCTCGGGGACCGAAGGCATCCCAGGAGAGAGCGCGGCACTGGATTTTAACCAAAAACAACGTGTATTTAATGTGAACCTGTGGTTAATGTCTGCCATATAGCACTGGTGCATCCTTAGAGCGAACCCAGGATTGAGCGGCTGCACGTTTGGGCAGACTCAGACTTCAAACGGTTAAAGTTTGCAGCCCGTTCGAACCTGTGATCACCTGACTGCTTAACTTCATCGCACAAATGGTTTCCCCACGTTCTCTGCTTTGGTGAGAAACTCCATTAAAGTGAAGAAAAATAAATAAAGTCGGAGTATGATTTGGAATTTAAGTCACAAACTGGTCACAGACACCAACCCTCCGAGTGATTTTCATCAGAACGCTGAGCCAAAGAGCACAAAACAGATGTTTTATTTTTAATTCTGATTTCGAATGAACAATAAATGGAAACAAAAGGCAAACAGGAGGACAATGAGACACCGAGAGGAAAACAGAGGTGCGCATTCCTGTCACGGTTGCATGATAATTACTGATTCGTCAGTTATTGAAGACCTGCTCACTGCTTTTCATTACCAACAACAGACGTACAGTGAGACGGAGAGTAGGAGGGGAGAGAGAGAAGGAGTGGTGGTGGTGGTAGGTTTTGGGGAAGGTTACCACAGGATGGCAGGGTGAGTGAGGGCATTAGGAAAAGGAAGGAAGGGAGATGCGAGAAGAGGAGGTGGTAGAGGTTGTCTGTAACATTGAACCAGGGGAAGATTTGGGGGGAGAGACAGACAGAGGAATGAAAAAGCAGAATGTGTTCCAACCTGGTCTGTGTGGTCCTGGGGGAAGCTCCACAGCACGGTTGGATCTAGAGGTAATTGACAGACAGCATTAATCAGCGGGTGAGAAACACACCGTCTTTGCTAGCTGCCTCAGAACACATACATATTAATGAGAGGGGTGGGGGCAAGGGTGGCTGCTGTGAGTCTGTGCACGCACGCACACATGCATACTCGCGCACACACACACACACACACACACACTCGCGCATGCACAGAGTGAGCAGCGCACAGTGAAAGACAAGACACAGAGTGTCTCGGCTGCATGCGCTGTAAATATGCAAATCTATACTCTGGTTGTAGATATGAGTTTATATTACGCACCAAATCATGCACGTTTAAGCCGCAGTAACACGCACCCCAGTTTATTTGCTTAATTATTGCTACATTGATTCAAGCCTGGTGTTGCTGAGGAGATGTAATTCTTACACTAAAAGGTTTATTATTATTGTTATTATTATTCTGCAGCAGCGCTACATGAAACCCAGCACACTGCGATATCCATTTGTAGTAAACAACTTAAACAACACTGATGCTGACAGATTAGCCAAGGTGATTAACTAGTTTTGAATAAAGGAAATGAAATATGTGCGATACCCGTTTTATCAGCCAGTGATAAGAATACAGGAAGTAAGGCGTGTTCGGCGTAGAGAGCGCTTCTATGAAACACTCTGTGGTGCACTTCTGGCTTCTGATCAGACAAAATTCAACATCTGGTGTTTTAGGAGGAAAGCCTCAACATATCGTATCCTCGCTGCACCAGATACAACCTGGTAAGTTGGTAACAGACACGACAGACCAGCCAACAGAACTGCGATCATCCAGCAGTCGTATGTATTTAGCAAAGACAGAGCACAGAAACTATTTCCAGAATATCTGGATAGTGAATAAGGGCGTGTTTGGCACACGTGATAAAGAACCGCGTAATCGGCGCCTCGGCCGACGGTTGCCTCAGCGCGACCCACGAGCGTCCAAACTACACACGCTAGTTTCTCTCAGGCTTAATGCTTCGTGTTTGAAATGAAGCGATCACCCAGCCACAGCCAGAACACAGGGGTCTGTGGTAAACATGGCTTCCACAGCTCCAAGGTCACCCCGTGACCCTGGCAAGAACAGCGAGGGTTTGCACAGACAAGCTCACACATGCCAAGTTCACTGTCACGGCCGCAGAAAAAGGCCCACGGGCTCATAAACACCCCCCGCCTCTATGTAAACAAAGCAGAACGATGAAAAAGTTCATGTGAAAGCAGCAAACCTCTCCAGAGTTCACCCGGTCTGAAACGCGAGGACGACTGAGCCCTCTAACAGAAAGCTGAATGTACTCGATGGACCTCGAGCCTAAAAATAACGCAGAGAAGAGAAGACGGCTGCTCGGATGAAGACGATATGCAACACCACGAGTAGCTTTGTGGCTAACGCACCGGGCTGTCCGCGAGAGACAGGGGGACACAAAGGACCCACGGATGACGGGACGCAGCACAATCAATGATGGCTTACATAATCCTGTTGGATCATTTCATGGGCCCCATCCTGAAAAGACTGACAGGAAAAAAAGAGCTCCAAGCTCTACGACCCCCCATCGCCCCGACAGTTCGGCCTATTTTATGCTTATTTACTGGGTGAGAGGATGGGAACTGCTGCTGGTGAACGATGCAGGACAGAGGAACCAGACGGCTTGTTCTGTACACCACCTCAAGTATTGATGAGGAGATATTCCAACCTATTCACCGTGTATGAAAACGGCCCCAATAACCTTTAAATCGGCCCCTTCGATCCAGGAAAAGTCCCTGCGTGCCTACCTGACATGTTCATTTTGAGTTTGGAGTCATGCCTCGAGCAGAGAGAGAGCGACTACACGCAAAGAAGACTTTTCTGGTGCAGCAGGAAGAACTTCTGAACATTACCAAACACCCTCCTTTATCATTCACGTCCTTCTCGTCTTTGCTCCAGGTGTTTCTTCTATCGCCTCCATTCGTTTTCTCCATCCCAGCGATTTCAGCTCCATTGCTGCTCCTTCCACACTCACCTCATTTCTCCCCCCTCATCCCACCCTCCCCAGTTCTGCACCCCCTTCTTTATTTTTCTCACCGTCTTGCAATCACATACCCCTCCCCTTCAGAACGTCCAGGGCGTGTGGTGGACGCAAGAGGGGGCCCGAAGGGGGTTAAGGCTGAAAGTTGAAGGTTACAGAGGTGAAGAGGACCCCCGCTGCTCCTCCAGGGGACACAAATGTCACTATGACAGATCCTGCACTGGTTTATCCTCCCTCCCCTCCTGCACACGTGCACACACAGTGAGAGCTCCGTGATACGTCTCATTCTGAAAAACACCTGAACTCTGCAAAGACTGCTCCAATTCATTTTCCTCTGAGAACGACGTGCAGAATGTTACTAGTTCAAACAACCTGTCGTATTGTTTATGACGTGATTTGCACGTGCACTCTCCTCTGTGGGTTTATACTCTGGCTCCAGTATGATGTGGACGTCATACTTACATGTTTTCTGTTGCTAACAAGGACATAAACCACTTCCTGTGTCCAGCAGACAAGGCTAGCAGCAAGCTGGAGATACAGTGTGTGTGTATATGCATGTGCACATAGAATAATTAAAGGTAAAGGTGCTTATAGGGCACCTTTCTAGTCAATTTGACCAGTCAAATCAGTTTCTACTACAAGTCTTATTCATCACACACACACAGCGTTTTTGTCCAACATCCAAATAGACACACTCACACCCTGATGGATGGATCTCTCAGTATCTTGCCCCAGCATACTTTAGCAGGCAGGCGCGTAAAGGGCTACGAACTTCTGACTGGTAGACGACCCCCACTCTCCCGTATCCCAAATGATGGGACACTCGTGCATTTGTAACTGGAAAAACTTCAGCGCCGTGGTCGAGGATACCTCTGAAACGTCCGTAAAACCAAGCTACTGCTTCCTGCTGTTTGCTTAGACATCCATCACGCACGGGTCTTTGGGCCCACGTGCATAACAGACTGATCTGATAGACATACACCTCTCCCATGTCAATCAAACTACAGCTGACAGATTCTATACAGAGCTGTTGCAGCCCAGATTAAAACAGGACATTTTAGCTAGAGTGACGAGGTGAAAACAACCTAGAGCATATTTCACCCTGGTGGGGTGTAAACAGATTCAGTGGGTGAGAATTGAATTGAAATCACCTATCGAGGGTTAGATTCCTCCATTCGCACCTGAGAAAATTGATGTGGGCAAACGTGGCGATGAGTGAGGGCTGACCACTGGTCTGTTTGCAAAGCGTGTGCGTGCCCTGTGTGCAAATGTGTACCGTGTGAGTAGATGCGTGTTTACAGATAGACAGCGAGCTCAGGAGTGAATATTTACAGTACACTAGCTTGTCCATTGATCCCTGAGGGCTTTGAGCATGGCTGAACTCCAACAGTCACAATGGGGGCAACAAGCCGGCAGCCCCTGAGCCGTGACACAGATACTGGTGAGATGAGGGCGGTGCTGGTTGATCAAAAATCAGTGTTTTGGCAATTTCTGAGACATCTGCCTTTGAAAGTCAGTGGAAAAATGGATTAATGGGGAAAGGGTGCTGGGGGCGGCGTGCAGGGCGGTGGAGGAGAGTGGAGGAGGGAAGAGGTGGGTGCGTGGCCTAAAGGCCGTCCGCAGATGAAGCAATTTGCTCGTCACCCTTCGCTTTGCAGCTGACGGTTGGTCACTAGTGAACACGCCAGGCTCTGGTAACCATATTGAAATTTCCCACCTCGACATAAGTCAGTGAGCGAAGCTTTTCACCCCACTGGCAGTCACCTCGATCCCTCACCCAACAGCTGATGAAGTTTAGTCCTAACCCACCAACTTTGCTGCTAAGGGCAGGATTTCACAGTTGCCATATTGCTGCTAGTGTTCACCAGCAGAACGATGTGGTTAAACAAAAATAGACCCGCAAGCAACAACGAGGAGGCCGAGAATTTCTGCAGGGCACGAAATCTAAACCGGACCCGTGAAAGCTCGCAAAGGCAGTCGACGTATCAGGTTTGGTGCCCTCGCGTCCTTTTTAGGAAGTTCACCATGAAATTTGTTGGATTGTAACTGACAAATCGTTTGGATTGTTAAAAAAGAACAAGAATCTGATTACATCTGTGAGGATTTATTTCGGTGCAGATTCCATAATGTTTATACAGTTTTTACAGCTTCTGAATGCAACATGAATATGGTCAACATGACGAGTTGTCGGGTTTCATCCTTGGATTTTGCAAGATACAGCAGGAAAAACAAGTACTGAACACCTCAGCAGTTTTCCAGGTGGCGTCTCGGAGCATAGGAGGAGCATTAAAGCATGTTCAACACTGTTTTCTCTTTGTAATTTCTCATCATTGCACAAACCTTAACTTATGGACATCTATGACATTTAGACATTTGCACGTCTGGATTGGACGGTTTGTTATCGACATCTGATGAGAATTTTATGTCAACGGCGCCTTTAGAAATCGATTTACTTGGAAAAATGGTGAAGTGTTCAACACGTATTTTACCTGGTGTATGTCAGACACTAACAACATGCCAATAAAGACAAAACACATTTCTGCAGCCGTCCATCTAATGAGTTATTCGTTTGGACAACCTCAGGAACGAGCGACGCGTCCGATACATAAACTCGTTTCTTCCCGTTTCACCGCCGATTTGATTTGAGAGTAAAAATCTGAATCTAGACCCAAGTTTTTTCAGTTTTGGTAAAGATATGAGATCAGCACAGTTCGACTGACTGGTTTTGGTCACTGGTGGAAGAACGTAGGAGACAAACCAATAAACACGACGTGGTAACGCTACTTTCCTCCGATATCTTTAAGTCTTTGTATAAATTTCTATCCGATACTTCTGGCACATTCAAGTAAGCAAAAAAAAGAAAAACGCTGGCATGTTCGACTTGGCATAAATCTACTGCTTCTTGGGATTTTCAAGTAGGCTAAAAAGAAGCTGTTGGCAGAGGATGTCATCCCTAACGCTGCTGGTTGGAAGAAAAAGTTGGCTCGTTACAGCAGC